GCCGCAGCCTCGCTCTGCCCTGCCACCACCGCTGCAGGGCTTCTCACTGCCCGACGCTTTAACTGTCTCAACCTCGGCTTTTGGGATCCTGCGTCTGGCCTCTTCTGCTACGGTTGCCGCCGTCCACTGCTGCCCCAGGAACGCCTCCTCGGACGGCGCTGTTTCTCAGACCATTTTGTCTTCGGCACCGTCGAGCGATCACCCCCCCCCCCCGCTGCCGCCATTCCTGGCTCCGGCCGGAGCCTCACTTTCTTCTTCTCTTCCGTTTACCTTTCAGACTACACCACCACTGCAACGACTATGATGATCTTCTGGCATGTCGGCAACTTCTGCGTTTTGCCTCGTGTCACACACCCCTTACAGAAGGAGACAACGGAAGACGAAGAAGACGTGGACGGGGATCCAGCGCCCCTTCCAACTGGCGCCTACCCCCTCCTCTCCCCCCCCCCAACCACTTCAGCCACCCTAGACTTATGGACCCTTTTTTGCACTTTTCTGGGCCTCGCAGGAGGGAAAAAGAGAACAAGGAACTCTCCCTCCCAAACCATCATCAGTCCCAGCTATTCGAACTTGCATGCACCGCTTGGGCGGAATCAAGATCTGCGTTTAACCTGTTTGTGGAGTGTGTGTGTGAATGTCTGAATGAAGAAGAATGTACCCACTTTTAACTTAACTAATTTATTATTTTATTATATTGTTGTATTTTTTAATGATTATTGTGGGGGGTGTATGAGGAGAGTGCTTGTGTGGTATACATGATAGGACTGAGAGTGCGGCCTGGAGCCCCCTCCACTGAGTGCAGAAGAAGAAGTGGATGGAGGCCCAGACCTGCCTCCCATCCTAGAACGAATGGTATGCGCTGCCTGCTGGGAAGAATGGGGGCCATGGGAGGGGTGGGTCTACGGGGATGGGGGAAGGTTGGAGCATCTTGGTTAAGACCGGGAGGGGCAGATATGACGGGAGCTGCAGGGCTAGCCATTACCAGGGAAGAAGGGCTCGCTACATCACAGCGATCCCTTGTTCTGGCCCTTCAAGTTCAACTCAAGGACCTGGTGACAGAGGAAATCAGGGCCCTGGTCTCGGGTTGCTGTTGCTAAATGCCAGGTCTGTGGTTTATAAAGCTCCCCTCGTCGGATGTAATATTAGACGAGGGGGCAGACCTGGCATGTATTACTGAAACCTGGCTGGGCCATGAGGGAGGAGTCCCCCTCTCAGAAATATGCCCAGAAGGGTTCCAGGTGCTCCACCAACCACGACACCAGAGAAAGGGGTGGGGGAGTAGCAGTTATTATCCGAAAGTCATTAGTTCCTCGCAGGATCCCTGCTCCAGGGATCGTGGGGTGTGAGTCTCTCCTCTTGAAGTTGGACCTAGGGGTTCAATTGGGGTTGTTTCTGACATACCTACCGCCCAGCTGCATCACAACAGCCCTGCCTGCGCTCCTAGAGACAATAGCCGGNGGTGGATTTGGGGTTTTCATGAGCTGTACGCCATAATCATCAGGATTGTGAAAAATCACAGCTTGAACTATCTTGCTTTGTATGTAATGAGTTTTATCTCATATATTAGTTTCACCTTTAGTTGCATTACTGTAATAAATGAACTTTTGCACAATGTTCTAATTTTTCGAGTTTCAGCTGTACCTGTATATTAAAAAATAATAGTTTGCAGGTATTATCTTGATTTATTTACCTACAATATTAAGGGATAACCCAAAATTAAACACATCTAAGCTGGTTTGGGATCAACTAGATCATTCTTAACATTATTATTTTTAACAGTGCAGTTCAAAACAAACTGTTTCTAAACTTTTATGGAATAAAAAGTTTTGCTTGCCTCAGAGGGCTTACTGGCAGCTTACTGATTTTAAATACATTATTCTGCTTATTTTTTCCATGATACCATTGCTGCTTCCAAAATTCTACAATACTTGGTAATTTTGGAGACATTAACTATGGTTTCCCACCTAGTAATGCTATTTGAAGTTGAAATAAGTTGATAAAATTGGTACTATTTATGTGATTTCTGTAATAATGAACAAAATGTGTCATTTCAGTAAATCAGTGGTAGGACACCAGAAACTATATGAAATTGATTTAAAATAAGGTTAAATGTAGCAAAAGGGTATTTCACATCTATTGGACATGTTAGATAATGTCTAATAGTTATACTTACTTTGCTGATGGAGGTGCAGCTCAGGAATTAGAATATGAGTTCATATCGCTTTGTCTTGCCCTGTTGTACTATTATTTGGGACTGATTTACTCTATATTACTGTATTACTGTCTAAAGTTGTATGTATTCTCAAATATTTAATGTTTGGAATTCATCAAGACACAAGTTCATTTAGGTGACATCAGGATTGCTATTAACTTTGAAGTATGTTAGTATTATTGTTAGTATATTAGTACTATTGTTATAAATCTGTACACTTGTTAATAATTTAATGTATGCATATGTAAAGGGATGCAGTGGCTCAATGGCTAAGATGCTGAGCTTGTCGATCAGAAAAGTCGGCAGTTCAGCGGTTTGAACCCCTAGTGCCATGTAATGGAGTAAGCAGGTTACTTGTCCCAGCTTCTCCCAACCTAGCAGTTCAAAAGCATGTAAAAATGCAAGTAGAAAAAATAGGAACCACTTTGGTGGGAAGGTAACAGCGTTCTGTGTGCCTTCGGCATTTAGTCATGCCAGCCACATGACCACGGAGACATCTTCGGATAGCGCTGGCTCTTCAGCTTTGAAACGGAGATGAGCACCGCCCCCTAGAGTCGGGAACATACATGTGAGGGGAATCTTTATGTAATGTAAAATCTGGTCATTAAGGAAGGCTGTCTCTAAGTGAAAAATCATGTGACCACAATTGGACTTACAATTTTACTTCAGCTTTTCTTCACTTTATCAGGGGTGTCAAACTGGCGGCCTGCAGGCCAGATGCATCACATGCAGGCCACACCCACCCCAGCTCCACAAATGGGAGACATGTCACAAAACATCACGATGGCAATGTGACACAGTGAGTTTGACACCCCTGCTTTATATTGTCAGATATGACCCCAAAGAGCCAGGTGATCCCAAACAGCAGGGAAAGTTTTCCAGCACTCAAGTCAGAGGGAAACCAGGTAAAAGGGCAAATCTTACAGAACTTTTATCCCACTCTGCATCCTTTGGAATTCTCACTCCAGCATTGGGAAAATTAGTGAGAAGGGAATTAATGTTTGTATGTACATTCATTACAGAAAGGTTTACTAGGAAGTAATCAGGAACGCAGTGGGAAATACACAAATAAAGGAATATGCTAGCTCCAGCTGTTTGCCTCAAGCCACTAATACCTTAGGAGGCAAAGAAAAGCCTTTAGTGTGAAAATGATTAGGGGCTTGTCAATTTCAGGCAGCAGATGGCAGCCTGCAGATTCTAATCAACTAATTAAAGTCACAAACCTGAACCTAACTTGTGATTAGCACTTTTTTAAGGGACATGCTGTACTCTGGAGAAAAGCAGCTCTAGGTAGCTTATTTAGGTCATGGGGAGGGGTCAGACATAGTACTATGAAATATTGTACTGACTGTAACAGTGAACATGTGGCTGAGACAGATGCTGCAAGTCATAAATGCTGGTTGCCAAGTTGTTTTCATCAGCACTGTAATTGAATGGTTGCTCTCCAAGGCAGTCACTAAACAAGGACTACCTGTATTTTAAAAGTGAACCATGTTTTCTTCAAGTGTTATAAATGCTAGGGGGCATAGTGTTTTCGCTGCTTGCCACTGTGACTTATCACTGTCTTTAGCTTTTGAAAAGATTTAATCAGGAGAAATGTAAAGTTCTGAATCTGAATAGGAAAAATGGAAGGCAAGTATAGGAAGGAGAACTGAGTTTTGAAAAGGATAAGGCTGCTCTTATTGATTAGAAGTTAAACTTGCGTCAATAACTTGATGCACTTGCTAAAAAAGGCATAACAACTTGTTAAGTACTTACAAAAACATAGAATCCAGATCAAAGGAAGAACTGTTCTAATGTGCTCTACCCTTTAGACACCACTTCAAAAACTGTATGTAGTTCTCGCTACCACAGTTCCACCAACTGGAGGAAATTTTGAGACAAGCAAAATATTGAAGGACCTAGAAATTAAACAGCATCAAGAATAATTCAAGATTCTAGATATGTTTAATATACATATCTGAGATATGACAATGATCAGTTAAGTATTTGAAGGTCTGATGAAGGAGTAATAGACTTATTATTTATTGCTTCATATTGCTTTCAAGGAATTAGATTTAGGATAGATGCAAACTTGAGTTGCTAGCTGGGAGTGGAAGTCTAATACATCATAAAACTGCCAAATCTGAAAACCACTGGCTAGGATCCACAGAGGGTTGGACTACATATTTTTTTTTACAATCTTTACAACTCTTATCATCTAAATTATTCTATAATATCTAAATCAGGGTAGGAACACTGCAGTGTATGCAGAAACCCAAGTAAGCTTAATGGTTTTGAAAGCCTCTTGAGAGACAACAAAAACTATTAGATAAACCTAACAACATGTCACTTTAGTTTTATTTGCGTTTCTTTTCCAAAATGCATGCTTTGATATAGAATTAAAAATTATATCTGTAACCTAGACATACATTTATAATAATTTAGATTTTACATTCTATATTTTGAATTATCTTGTTTTTATCTAAATGTGATGTGAATGTGCCATACAATAAATAAATATAGAATTAGCACTATCCAAAAAAAACCTCTTAGCGGAGTCTTTCTCATTCTCTCTCTCACACACACAACACATAACCTCACACACTTAGGCTTTTTGATCTTAATATTAGCAACAACTCTGGCATAAATCATTGGCCAGAATTGTTGACAGCTTTTCTGAGACATGATGCAAAGTGCTGTAAAAACAAAGGCTAGTGTCCATTATATAACACACCCTTTGAATTCCAAATTGTGAAAGGGGGTGCTTCTTTTACTGTACAGATCAATAAGGTAGCAAACTACTTCATAAATTAGACAAATTTAATTTTCATTACATTGCAATGATGTCATATGGAGATATTTCCTGAGTTTCCTGAGTTTAACCAATGCTTTCAGTTAACCATGGAGTACATTACAAATGTAACAGTAACTTAACAGTAACTTAAAAACCAACATTGTACATTATTGTACATTATTAAATGTACAATATATAAAAACTTTAAGTGCAGCACCCATTCTACATGTTTTTATCATCACTACTAATTTAAAAGTTTATAAAACATAGAAATTATATTTAAAGGCAGAATATGAAGTTGTTTGACAGGCAAATTTTGGAAAACCTCAGTATCCTTCTAAAGTTGTTGGATTTATCTTCCTACTCCCATAGGTATTAATACTGATCTTCAAATATTAGATAATTCCTGCTTTATGTAACGCACCGGGCTAAATTTCCAACTTTTATTTTTTAAATAAATTTCCATGAGATGAATAGCTTTCCAAGGATTTCTAAGATGTTCAACTCCTAAATGTAAGTTTAAAATGACTATTGTAATCATGGGTGATCACATGAAAACTTAACCATAATTGTACACTATATTTAATATAAAATAGAAACGTGACTTTGTAGCCCTAAGTTGTCTTGCCATCCAACATTACACTGAACTAGGTCATCCAAGGTTCAAGATGTAAGATTGCTTAATTGGTGCATATATGTATATGTGTGTGCATTTCTCTCTTTATAAACATGTAAGAGAGGCCCAACATTATCGCATGAACAATTATTTGCAATCGATAATGGAAAAATCTGATTATAAAAATCCCTTTCTCCACTTTCACTTTTATTGTCCTTAGATAAGGTAAACTATAGAATATATGCCTCAACAGCAAGAACCACTCTGTGCTGATTTATCCAGCTCTATATGGATCTAGCTGCTTGCTAGAGAGATAGGAAAATTGATCAAAATGGCACATACTTAAATATTTCACAGTTATCAATTAAGTACTTTTCCTCAAGTATTCAAGGTGAGCAGAAAAAGGAAAGGCTGCATGAGTGCATGTGTGTGTCAGCCATTTGCTCTATTTTCAAGTTGAACAGGAGGTAATTATCTTAATTGTGATGATATCCAATAGCAGATGCAGAATAATGGTTCAAATAATGACTCAAAAGACCAAGGATGATGGACTGGCACAAACCCCTCTCTTGGTTCCAGGATGGGAACAAATCAAGGAGATATTTTTTAAATCAGCTCATTCCTTGTTTTAAAGATAGTGAAATGGAGGTTCATGCTTCCTTCTCTGCCAAAGTGAAAGGAAGGAGATCATGCTTTAATAGCTCTTTGGCTCAGAGATCTGTCACCACCTTTTTTTTGGTAGTTTCTTAAAAAAATATGCCTCATATTATCAATGCACTTTCATATACTCTTACCTTTTCTGATGGAAGAAGGAAATTCCAGATTAAATAACCTTCATTCTTACAATAGACTATTAACAGACAAAGCAAGCTTTAAAAAAAAGCAGAATAATGAAGTTTCTCAAACAAAACTCATTACAATTGTTTGTGACTACAAGTAGGGACGTAGAGCGATAAAAGTACTGAAAACTCAATACCCTTTAAATTTGGAGTTCTATTAGTCACAAAGCTTGGCAACAGAGATGTATCCTCTGGTTTTGGACGGGAGTGTGCAAATATTGCCTAAGTGGTTTGTTATATTGCAACAGAGCAGCAATTTCATCTAAGAACTTCACAAAATTCAAAACATATATTTGTTTTAAAAAAAAATCCAAAAAAGCTCCTCCAACTTTTGTTCTAAAGTTTCTTTGTTGTAAAGAGGGTACAATATACTGATCGGTGATGAGTACCTTACCAGTTATAACCAAAGCTACCCTTGAATTAACAAACATAAAATGTACATTAAAGAGCTGCCTGAGGAGCTGGCTGGAAATCACTGGATTTGGTAGCCTGGGCCATGGCTCTACGTTTGGCCAGGCGGGATTTAGAGGGAGGAGAAAGCTTCATGGAGCATATGGCCTGTGTGAGGCTTTCCTGTTCTTCACTGAATTGATTTTCATGCTGGGAGAGTTGGCGGTTCAGAGCAATAGCTTCAGCGGCAAAAATAGTCAAGTCCTTTGTGCTGCTGTTCCTGCGGGAGAATTGAGAAAAGAAAATTAGTTTATACCAGAGGAACTAACAATCTAATTGCCCATCAGAAAAGCACAAGTTGTCTCTTCATTATCTTCCTTATAACCAGGTTAATTTTGTGATTCATTTCCAAACAAGAAGTGATGGGAACAATTAATGGCTCTTCAGACCCAAGAAACAATGTTTTCTGGGAACATTTTACCAATTAATACAACCCTCCGCTTTCTCTCAAAATTCTTCTGATTGCAATGGATCTATCTTCTAAGCCAGTGTTTCTCAACTTGGCTGAGAAAATGGATCCATTGCAGTGTTTCTCAACCTTGGCAACTTTAAGACTTGTGGATTTTGACTCTCAGAATTCCCCAAGCGGTGTGGCAGGATGGGAAATTTTGGGAGTTGAAGTCCACACATCTTAATGATGCTAAGATTGGAAACACTTCTAATCACTTTTTCAATTAATTGTGACAAATTTACAGAAAAGCTTACCTTTGAAGAACCTGGGGTGTAGGTAATCCTTTTTCAGAAGCATGCTGAAAGCCACAAAAAAGTTGCAGTGTAAGCGAAGCAACCCTGAAGAAAATCTTTACTAATCAAAGGATACTCAATCTTCACAGTTCATTTACTTTGAACATTTTTCTGAATAAGTCACATTTTAACAGCAAGATGCTATGTTGGCTAACTAGATATTAGCAATTACAATGTCCAAAGAAATGTTCATTAAAGAACAATATATTTATATTAACAGAAATTGGTTTTTCTAGTACCAAACAACCAGGGGTGAAAATTCAGCAGGTTCTGACAGGTTCTGAAGAACCGGTAGGGGAAATTTTGAGTAGTTTGGATAACCAGTAAATACCCCCTCTGGCTGGCCCCAGAGTGGGGTGGGAATGGAGATTTTGCAATATCCTTCCCCCAGGAGTGGGGAGGAAAGAGGATTTTGTAGTATCCTTCCCCTGCCACGCACACCAAGCCATGCCCACAGAACCGGTAGTAAAAAAAAATCGAATTTGACTACAGCAAACAACCCTTTGCGACTCTCAAAGGAAAGCTTTTAAGTTCTCAGTAATAAAGAATATTTGTAGATATAGGAAACCAACTGCATACCCACTGTTTCACTTCAGTAGAATAAGACAGGTTAAGTAACTCTGAACTGGGAGATTGTTTGTACCATCACAAGCCATTAGGGATCTGGATTCATGTGGTTTAAGACAGCATCATTGTGTTCACATTTTTAGCCAAGGTCTTTTTTCCCCACCACAGATGTGACATTATGTTCTTTTGTAAGATTTGGTTCACATGCACCAATGACATATAGAAATAGAGGGCATCACTTACACCTTGTACCCAGGGATGTTCTAGAACCTGGGCAGCGCCAAGCCTCAGTTTGGCATTACGAACCAGGAGTTTTGAGATGAGATCTTTGGCTTGACTGGAGATGCCAGACCAATCCTTGTCAGGGAACTCATACTTGCCTTCCTGGATACTCTCAAAAAGCTTACTCTATGGGGGGGGGAAAGTATAATGTTTCTCAGAATATATTTTTAACTATATTTACAAATATTTTTAAATGGGTTACAGTTTTTAAAAATATTATTCCCTCTCTACATGCAACAGAGGTCAAACTGGGAATCGTGGGAAATATACTTTTAGTACAATTCTTAAGAACATAAGACTAGAGAACATGATCTGAATATAAAACCTTCACATTCATTATGAACTTATACATTCAACCTGAAACGGTTTTGAAAACAGCTTTAATTGCCTTCATTCTTCAAGTCCATAGATGTCTCAGAGGATATCCGAATAATTTTAAAGAAGCTCAATTAAACCTGCTACATCAGGGGTAGGGAACGATGGCCCTTTTATGACATGTGGACTTCAACTCCCAGAATTTCTGAGCCAGGAATTCTGGGAGATGAAGTCCTTAAGTCATAAAGGGGCCATGGCTCCTCACCTCTGTGCTACATTATTACATGTCCAAAATATACTGATTACCTGACAAACTTTGCAGACTTCTCCCCTGTCCCAGCCACAGTCTGTACCACAATTACCCACAAATGGAGGATAGCCACTTAGCATGATATACAAAATCACACCTAGGCTCCACAGGTCGCATCGCTTGTCATAGAATGTGGCTTCTTCTGTGAAGACTTCCACCACCTCTGGTGCCATGTACTCTGCAGACCCACACTAGCAAGAGACAGAACTGATATCAGACAGTTGCAGAAAAGGAAGCATTCACAACACAGGTAGTCCTTGCTTAATGACTGCATCATTTAGTGACCATTCAAACCATGTAACATAAAACAGCTTTGTAACCATCCCCCTTGCACTGACTGCTCTCACAGCATCCTGTGGTCACGTGACTACCATTCACATGTTTCACAACCAGCTTCCAACGAGAAGAGTTAATGGGGAACCTGGAAGTAATGCTGCACGTGGTGGTCACATGATATCTCGCTTAACAACCACAGTGACTCATTTCATGGCTGGAGAGGAAGTGATTCCATAAGCCCAATGTGATCATACAATTTTCTGCTTAATGACGACAGGACTTTGCAATGGATCTGCCAGTTCCAATTGTAGTCATTAAGGGAGGCTACCTGTGCCGTTAATACATAACTCTTTTTGGAAAGGCAGATCCACCCAAAACCCTGCACGCAGTACCCATGGTTAAGGTCAATGCATTACAGGTCATATAGTGACCATTCACAGCATTAAAAAAAGTGACATGACAATTTTTCACATTTACAACTATCTATTCAGATGATTGGCAGCTGGTTCATATTTATGACGGTTGCAGCATCTTGGGGTCATGTGATCAGTTTTTGCGACCTTCTGACAAGCCAAGTCAACGGGGAAGGCAGATTCACATAACAATCATCTTACTAATTTAACGACTTAAGTGATTCACTTAACAACTATGGCAAGAAAGGTCGTAAAAGGGGGCAAAACTCATTTAATGTTCAATTTAGCAACATAAATCTTGTGCTCAATTGTGATTCTGTATTACAAATTATATGATTAGTAACATCTATTTGGAGTGACTATTTTTCCCCATAAAGCTGGGAGAGTATTAAACCCAATGCAGGAAATTCTGCTGCTGTTAATTTTAAATCAGTATCAGTTTAGTAGCAGCATACTGGCAGATGCTGAAGAAGTTCAGAAGAATGGAGGAAGGAGAGGACGATCTAAGCCAGGGATATCCAACCTTGGCAACTTTAAGATCTGTGGACTTCAATTCCCTAGCCAGCATATATAGATTCTAAAATTGGACACCCCTGATTTAATCCGTTCTATACAAATTACTGGGATTATTATCCAGGTTACTGGGATTATTATCGTGATTATTATTTCTCATTGATTCAAAGCCGTTATCTCTCTGGAAATTTAGTCTACGCAACTCATTCAGTCTAACCCTGGTAGATAAGAGATTCCCAGACCCAGGCACGCTGTAGCGTAAATTTAATTCATATTTTGTAGCACAATACAAACTGAACATTTTTAAAGCTAAGACTTTTTTTTTAAGTGAGAGCAGCATTTCACACTTTATGGAAATAAGCATAAAATTTCTGGTCTGTCTCCCACAACCCTGGCAATGAACTATAGCACAGTTGCTGGGCAACAGCAAGAATTATGAGGAAGCAAAAATGAAATTGAGAATGTTAATTTGTAGATGTCTCAGTATAGAGTACTTGAATATATGCACAATTTTATAATGCTTTTTGCGTAGTAACAAACAGTTGGCTTGGTGATACAACTTAACCTTGCAGATTTTAATTAAATGAAAATATACCCATTTATCATCCCAAACCTCCCAAGTCAGGTTCCGGGATGCGTTGGGTCAAGCAATATATAAAAACTCTTTTAAATATATAGTTTAACATTCTTGCAACTCTCTTTGAAACATATTGTCCAATATGAAGTGACTTATTCCAGTACTGTTTCATATTCACTCATCATTTCCAAATTTTAATCTCTCCTGAACCTTTAATGTTTGGTCATGAGTTAGAAGGAGTTTTGGAGAAACATATACAGTAAACCATGTTCCAGGGACCTTATACCCAGGATTCCATACCATGTGTTGCAACCATCTGATACAGCGGTGGGATTCACTTACCTTCCCTACCGGTTCGCAAATGTGAGCGAGCGCAGTGCTCGTGCATTATGTTGGGGCGGGTGGGCGGAGCCTCTTCCAGCCACCTCTACCGGTTCAGCCAAACCAGAGAGAACCGGCTGAATGCCACCTCTGATCTGATAGCAATAGCACTTAGATTTATATGCCACTTCACAGTGCTTTACAGCCCTCTCTAAACGGTTGACAGAGTCAGCATATTGCCCCCAGTGTTTCTCAACCTCAACGGCTTTGAAGATCCCAGAAGTTGAAGTCCATACATCTTAAAGTTGCTGAGATTGAAAAACACTGAACTAAACAATGACAAGAAAACAAGTAAAAGCAAAATCTGAATCCTTCCAATGTGCATTGATAAGGAATTATTGAGATTGTTGAGATTGAGGTGCCCAATATATTTGATTATGTTATATATGTTGTTTTTGAAAATAATACTTCCATGTTCTCTCTTCTTAATTCTCTAGTAATTTGATTACCTAGCCTGGATAATGGTTTTATTTAGCCTGGGCAAGCCATAATTTCAGAATTTGGTGCGTGAATATGAGGGCTGTTAACAGGTTAACTAACAATAATCACATGAGTAGTTTCAATGCTAAAAAATCTCTGAAATACATTGCAAAAGGACTGTTCAATCAGTCCTATTATACAGCGTTAAAGATGCAAGTCTTGTTGGCTACAAGAGAATAAACATGATCTAGGAAAATAAATCAGTCCGTTTATAATTTTTCTTATTTATTTGCACTCTCTTCTGTACACTTACAGGGACTTGATATATATGTTAATTCTGCTTTTGCATACTACCAATTTCAGCAATCTTTAGGTTTCCTGCTTCCTGGTGCGATTCCACTAATTTTCTTATACTGCCCCTTACTGGATGGAATTGCCCAAAAGAATTCCTTTTTCTGGCAAACTTTCCATCCATTCAAGGAATCTTGTGGAACAACTTTTTCCTGACATTGAAGTACGTAAAACTGAATGCTTATCCAGTTTAGGCCACATTTGTTTCAGCTTCAATCTGCCTATCATCCAATCCTGTATCAGATTTAAGACTTGGCCTTATTTTCAGGGAGGTCTTATTATTTTTGAGGTGCAGGAGCCTGGGAGCATTGTCACCTCATGATTGCTGCTGTGTTGCAATATTTTCAGGGAGGGCTTATTTTCAGGGGAGGGCTTATTTCAGCGCATGCATTCAAAAGCCCGATTAGCCGAATGATCCTTTACATTAGGACTAATGTCAAGATTTCCATGATCTTATTGGCAGCTATTTTCTTATAATTTTCAAACTTGAGAAATGCAACTTAGTTTATTATTAGAGTTATTTGCAAACTTGAAATTTACTCTATAATCTATATTATCATCTATAATCCCCCCCCCCCCAAAAATAGCAAGATATTGTCTGGAAAATGCAGCTTGCTGGATATTTCACTTTTTGCAATTCAACTAAACGCCAGCTAGGTTGTGCATCTAAGCAACTTTACAGCACAACATAGTGAATTGTTGCCTTTGTTCTCACATCATAGACTACTCTCCAAAATACAGGAGCCTACATACCGGAGTAGTCAGTTCAGGAGTAGAGATTGGAGTACATGCACTGTTGAGTTTCACCCCACTTCCAAGATCAAAGTCACAAATTTTTACAGGTGATACCTGAAATGGAGGAAGAAGGAAAAATACATGCAAATCAAATCACTGAGGAAATAAACCTAATGAAAAGTAAACAGATAGAATTGCAAAGCATAGATGCACCTTATTAGGAGATTCACAGAGTATATTCTCAGGTTTTAGATCTCGATGTGCGATACCTAAGAAGTAACACAAAAGACAAGGAGTCATATCCAAAACAACGTCAAAAATGGAGAAAATAGAGAAAATATTTGCTTTTTGGTGTTTGCAGTAGCTACTAATTCCATTGCACTTAAATCATCTCCTAAAGTTACATTCAAACTTCATGAAATATTCCTGGATGTTTTCCAAATAATTGTACAGGAGAAATAATATTCATTAGAATAACGGCATTAAAATAATACCTTCATATGAATCTTGAACATTCACAAATTACACAGTACAATCCAGGCATTTAAGAAGCATTTCTAAGACACAAAATGAAATGTATTGGCTAATGGACTATTTTTTTATAGCTCTTGATATGTGTGTATACTTGTACTACTTGGTACATTTTTTAAAGAACGAACAATAAAATATATTCCCTTTACAAGCTCTTCATGTTGTCAATACACGGATACCAGCAGTGACTGGCTCCTTCTCAAATTAAACCAGAATTCTAAAAAGTCCTGAGGGGCAGTGACATAACTTCGAAAGTCAGTGCTTGACTCGCATTTTCACCCACAGATTGAGTATTCACAACTGAGAGAAGTAAAACTATGAATCTTAAGTTTCCAAAGGAACTGGACATGTATAACATATAGGACATGTAGGTCTTCAAAGAGTGTTTTCTTTTTTCAGAATTTTGACCAAAGTATTTGTTCAGCTGGGAAACAAAAGGGCGCCCTGCTTCTAACCAGAAGATAATGGGGTAATTGTATTGCCCAATTGTTAATATTTCTGCACACAAATAGCAGCCTGTGTTAGTGAAGCGAACTCAGGCACATGGATTTATTTAGGGACAAAGAATCTCTTATAGGATGGCTGGGATTGAACTACATAGGGCATTAGTGCTTGCTTTTGGTAAGAAAAAGCTATGATAATGGAGGGCAGGGGGCAGGCTGGCTTCAAAATACCTTGTAATTACATTGTAATTTCAGTGTTCCCATAACTGCACTGACTCCGTTTTTCGCTCATTTCTGCCCTCCCCAGCCCCCAGGAGCTCTCTGAAAGCCTTCTAAAAGCTATGCACGGCCATTTTGCTAAAGGGGGCGGAGTTTCAGGAGGCAAAAAATGCTGTATTCAGTGTATAAGATGCACTCAGATTTTCAGCCTCTTTTTTGAGGGAAAAGGGTGCGTCTTATACTCCAAAAAATACAGTAAACAATTTTTAAAAATGTGAATTTATCATCGGTATCATTAAGTGCCACTATTAAGGTAAAGTGGTGAGCAAAACTTACATTACTTTGATCCGTGACATTAGAAATGACCGTTTATACAATTAAGGGCTCTCCAACAGATGGCTGTCTAGTTTGCACTTAAATATATCTAGCAGAGAATGGCCACTACCTCCCTTCATAACTGGATCTATTTTCAAACTGCTCATATTCTTATGAAGTTTGTTTCTAATATTCAGGTGTATTTCTGCCTTCTTAAACCTTAAATCCATTGTTCCATATCCCAGGTGAAGGTCTTGACTTTCAGTGTGACAGTCTTAGCTATTTGAAAAACTCTACCAGAATCCTTTCTTCGCAATTCTTATTTCCTTTTGCCTGTCTTTATCAGACTTAATTTCTAATTCCCCAATCATCCTTACTTCTATTACTTATGCTCGTTATATTGATTTTAAATGTTTATTATTAACGAACAGTGTGGCACTACTGTACCATTCTCATGACTGTAATAATGGATTGAAAACTTGAAACTTAAAAATCTTTACAACCTTATGGTAGCCATAATTTTGTATTGTTTTTAATTTTAAAAAATCATCCATGCTACTTCATAACCCAGATCCTACACATACTGCAATGTATCTGTTTACAAGGCATGTGGGTCACCTTTAAGCACATAGTTAATATGAGCATTATTCATCTTCTCCAAATCCCCTATTAAGTGTCATTTAAATTGAATCATCGTTCATGTGCAATAGCTCAATAAGGACTATGTTCATTCACTGTACCTCAAAGTCAACAACCAGTGTCAAAATCCTTATGCTATTATGTTAGAAAAAGACATCCAAAATGCTTAAACACAGAAGTAAACTTAATGTCATGCTGGTTTTTTAAATATACAAGCAAACCTTGCCTAACCTGAAAGCTGGTGGCTAATGAGCTTGGAAATAGGAATGTGTTTGTTTTTACCTTTTGTATGCAAGAAATCCAATGCACAGGCAATATCTCTCACCACCTGGCTGGCCTCCCTCTCATTAAAGTGCTTTTGCTGTTGTATATAAGTCAAGATAGAGCCTATAGAGGAAAGACGGCAGGTAGATGCTTGTAGGCAAAACAACTGAAGACACCAAATTCTATAATAAGTATAAACATATTTGTGACAACTAAATTGCTCAGGTTTCTATCTCAACAAAAATAGTAGCAAAGGTAATTACAGAAGAGAAATTGATTTTACAGCCCCCACATCACAGCGCAACAGGTTACAGACCATGCGGACTGGTCTGTTTTCTTCAGAAACAAGTGTGACATTTACTCCAAAGTTGTTTATACAAGTTTGCTATTTTAATCAGGAATGATAGGCCAAAAGTTTAGTCTGTTCACATTTCCTGAAACCACCCTCTCCCCATCAAAAACAAATTTTGAATAATATCTAGATGCACAGATTTTTACTGTGAAATTGTATATCATACTTTGTCACTGCAAAGAAGGGCACATAATCCGTTTCCTAACCAATGTTCCCTCTAATTTTTTTCAGTGTGCGGAAAAGTATAGTATTTGAGTGGCACATTTTCATGCCTGAACACCTGAATTTTTTTAAAGCCATAATTGCCATCAGAGCAGATGTTGGGGAGGGAGGCAAGGAGGAAAAGGGTCCCCTCCCTCTCCCTCAGACCCTCAGGAAGGAAGGAAGGGGAGGGGGAAGAAAAGGAAAGGGCAAAGAAGGAAAGGAAATGGCAAAGAAGAAAAGGAAAGAAGGAAAGGAAAGGAAAAAGGAAAAGAGAAAGGAAAAGAAATGGAAAAGAAGGAAAGAAAAAAGGAAAAGAAATGAGAAATGAAAGGAAAAGAGAAAGGAAAAGAGAAAGGAAAGGAAAAGGAAAGGAAGATAGAAGAAGGACAGAAAGGAAAAGGAAAGAGTAGAAAGGATTGGTACTGCTCAAAAATCAAGTCTCAAGATCCTGTTGACCCCTTTGGCTCAGGCAGTCCAATTCCACGCTGGTTCCCTCTCTCCCTGAAGCGAAGGGATCGCAGAAAGACTGCCCAGTCCAGAACGGGGCTTCACACAACACAATGCCTGAGAAACCCCAGATGTGCAGAGAAACACAGGCTACAACCAGCAAATCATGTTTTCCCAGGAACCGACGAAGTCCCATAGGACCAACGGGAATTCTCCCTTCTGTAGCGTCATCGGTCTCTGGGCAGAGTCTTCCTTGATTTCACCAATCACCAGATGGAGGAGAGAGTTCGGTGCAGAGAGAGAAGGGAGGGAGGAGGGATATTTTCAGTCACATTTAAAGAAACACTGCGCTGCAGTTTGAAACTTCTGCACGGTGTTTTCTTTTAGGTGTGCAGCCGCGCAAGCGCACAGTTTAGAGGGAACATTGTTCCTAACTTTGTATTTTTTATATATGTGGCCAATTCTCAACACTAAAAAACACAGGTCTTCTGCTCTTTACTATAATGTAATTGTTCTGAGTGACTTCAATTCATTTTTTAAGAACACCCCAATATTATCTGGATAATATTTCAGCTTCATACAGGAATACAATAATACTCTTTAAAATAGGCTATGAATGAAAATCCAAGTGTTATGTAACATAAGATAAAACTACATATTTCTGTGAAAGGTTTGCATGATTAAACTAAGGCAGGGTCAATGTTATCACAAAATTGGGAGAGCAGAGGCAAAGGAAGGGGAATGAATACTTACCTCCTCGCAGTTTTTCAAACACAAGGTAATACCTTACGCTATCTTCAAAAAACTCTATTAATTCCAAAATGTTCCTTAAAAACAAGGCACAGGTGATCATGCTAAGTCTTATTTTCTTAGTACATCAAAATTGCACAAGTATGCCCAAAAGTGTTATTTGAAATATTCTGATGTTTTCAGGTAAACAAAAATCACATCATTCTAATCCTAAAATCATCAGTATGACTGATTTTAAAATTAATCAGTATTTTTCATACATATGAAAAATAATTCAATTGTCTTGCGCTCTCTCTCATTGCCACGCCTGCATTGCTAAATAAATATGTAGGAGCCAAAAGGAACTGAACAATTTTGGTAGAAGCAGCTGCTTCAAGTCTATCCTTTGTGCTTGATCAACATAATTTACGAGGGATGTTATTTGATCTCTGCTTTCCAAGCCTATACCAAGAATAAACAACTGCTGCCAATCTTATTTTGTGGAATTTTTAACATACAAGATTTTATTAATACTGTAATACTTACTTATTACCCTGACACTGATACAATGTTTCCACTTCTCGAAATACCCGACTCCGACTATGTCCAGCATTTTTTTCAATTATCTGTTGCAAAAATAGAAAGTTTTTTTAAAATGAAAAACTTCTTACAGAATGAATATTGCATTATATCCAATTCTGCCTGCCTGCCAAACTTGGGTTTTATTGACAGATCAAAATCATTTCTTGCACCATGTTACACATCTACTCAACCCTACACCCTCCAGATGAGCTTTCAGAAGCCTTCATGAAGCATTGGGAGGAAAAGTGAGGGAAATTCCTGCTGCGGAAGTAGAAAATTTTGCATGATGCCAAATGTTGCCATTGACACAATCTTTTCATTTTAATATGTTGAAGGGGGAAAAATGTTTAGAACTAGAATTGGGTGGGGAACTATGGCCCTTTTATGACTTGTGGACTTCAAATCAAGAACTTCAAGGCAGGAATTATGGGAATTGAAGTCCAAAAATCATAAAGGGCCATAGTTCACTACCTCTGAACTAGTTATTAGTGTAGTTAGTAACTGGGTTCTTGTAAGTTCTCGCAGATAAAATCACATTTTTAAGCAATAATGCTCTTAATCAAAAGGAAAATTGTGATGTTTTCCTCACCTTAACTGCATATTCCTTTCCAGTCTGCAAGCTAACTGCTCCTTGAACCTTGGCATAGGAGCCCTGACCAAGCATCTCTGCAGTGAGCTTGTATAAATCTGTCAAATAATAATAATAACAGTAATAATAGTAATTATATATATTATAGCAATAATAAGAAACTACATGGTTATGGATGAAACATGTAAAAGTGGTATCCACTGTCATCAGGGCACTTGGTACCATGTCCAAGAATTTTGCAAAATACATCAAGAAGTTGCAGCTTCCTGCTGTAGCACCAGCAGAGCTGCAAAAGACTGCACTACTAGGAACAACTTAAATTTTAAGAAGATACTTGGTTGATACCTAGGATTCTGGTAGCAACCCATATCAACCATCAGAGCCAGTCAATGGTATTTGTGATACATGTTTAAATGTTCAGTTGACTGTGTTTCATGTTTAATGAATAAAAGATATAATAATAATAATAATCCCATATACAGAGGGAATTAATAGTGGACAATTGGATAAACTTAGTGCTGATAACACAATTGCTACTAAACAAGAAAAAGTTCATCAAGAAATTAAAGACAACATGGAAGAAAAGTTTATCGGTTTTTCATGTGGAAAACATCATTTCTGAAAGGTTGTGATCCTCTCTATTTTACCTTCTAAATTTTAATTGCTAATGCTTCTTCCTTTTCAATGATCTTGGAATAATATCAATGAAATATGGAATCATGCAATGTGAATTTCAATTATAGGTAGTCCTCACTTAATGACAACTGCAACCAGCAACTGTCACTAAGTGATATGGTCATTAAGTGAAATATCACTTTTCCACAAATGACTTTCAACATCAGTTCCGCCATGGTCAATAAGAAAATCACTTATTGAGATATCGCTTGTAATTTTACTGCCAACTTCTCCATTGACTCTGCTTGTTGAAAGCTGGATGTGAAGCTTGCAAGTGACAATCGTGTGACCACTGGATGTTGCAATGGCCATAAATATGGGCTGGTTGCAAAGTACCTGAATGCTGATAATATACTGCAAACTGTAATAGTGGTAAGTTCAAGGACCAGTCATAAAGTTACCTTTTTAACACTGTCACAATTTCAAATGGTTTCTAAATAGGGCTGTTGTTAAACAGGGAGTATCTCTACTTTGTTCTTCTTCAGCAAAGCCAAACAAGGACAATGCACAAGAAGCAGAAAAATGTAAGTTGTTCTTTTAACCCAGTACTTCCAACTTTAAGATGTGTAACCTTGAATTCCCCAGCTAGCCATGCTGACTAAAGGATTCTGGGAATTGAAATCCTGCATCTTAAAAGTTGCTGTGATTGAGAAACACAGATTTACACTACAAATCAAAGTGCAATACTCTCACATTATTTCCAAGACTACCATACAGGATTGAACACAAGCAAACAAATCTACCCAAAACCAAAACTACATCCCCCCCAAAATCCAAGCAATTATAAATCCAACCTTCAAACCTTCCAGGGAAATGATCTGTAGCTCTTGTCCGCTTTTTCTTTTTCCTTTTACCATTTTCTAATATGGGAAGAGGCTGGCTGTTGATGATCTCTACACAACAGAAAAAGTACAGATCATGTGTTTTTTTACAGCAAATATGTGAGAGAGTAATATAACTTCAGATTCTTAAATCTCTAATGTTTTCGAATTTATTTTTTCACGCAATGTAAAAAATAATAATATATTTGTTATATCCAAGGAATACTATTTTTAAGGTATAGGGACACAGCAAGAAAAAAGTAACAATAAAAAACAATGTACAAAATGTTTGTACAAATGTTACAAAATATGGGGTTCCCACATAGCACATCATAGGCCCATTTGGAATAGTTGTTTTACCACTATTTCAATTGTTAAAGCTTATAGGACCTTTTTGTTCAGACACTATAAAATAATAAGTCATAATTCCTGGAAGGGGAGGGGTGAGGGAAGGAATGGCTTTTTACCAGGTTGTATCAACTCCAGGCAATGGAGTTAAAAAAAGAGACAGTGTGAAAAATCAGCAGGACACTAAAAAAAAAGATATTTAGAATGCAAAAATCAATTCAGCAGAAGTCTACAATATATAGTAAATAAAATTTTCATAAAAGCCCAGAAGGATGGCAGGAAAGGGGTCTGGGGATGTGTGTGTGTGTGTGTGTGTATATAAATGTATAAATGTATGAATGTATGTATGTATGTATGTATATACAATATGCAATATGCAATATACAAATACATATACATATATATATAGTGCATGTCCATTGAATTGATTTTTTTTTGTATTTTAAAGGCCTGTCTCCATTTTAAAAATACTGAATTCAACTTGAATGAAATGCTCCAGTGGTGCAGTAGTCAACAATAATAACTCAATGTGCTTTTTGATTTATGATTGAAGCTATAATTAATATCATTACTGATCTTCAAGGGGAAAACAACTCAAGAAGCTTGAGAAATTTTGAAAATGAGATTATAAAAGCCCAGTCTAGCACAATACCAATGAAGAAAATAACAGCTCTCAAAAAAACCCAGCATGGCTGCATAAAGAACTCTGACAAATTAAAAGACAAAAAGGATAAGTATAAAAAGTGGAAAGTGGGGCACATAACTAAGGTAGAATATCAGCAAATAGCCCAAGTCTGCAAAGATGAAGTGAGGAAAGCTAAAGCTCACAATGAACAAAGGCTTGCGACAAAAGTAAAAATAACAAAAAAAGCTTATTCCAACATGTTAAAAACAAGAAAAAAGTGGCAAGAAGGTGACAAGCAACAGGGAGAAAGCAGAACTACTTAACCCATTTTTTGCATCTGTCTTTATACAAAGGGAAAAAAACAGTCCAACCTATCAAAAACAGCACCACAAAAAACAGATCAGGAACACAAGTTAAAATAGGGAAGAAAATGGTAAGTGAGCACCTGTCTACCCTAGGCAAGTTCAAATCACCAGCACCAGATGGATTACACCCCAAGGTTCTGAAGGAACTCGCAAATGAGATCTCAGAACCACTGAACTATATCTTTCAAAGATCCTGGAGCACCGGGGAACTCCAGAGGACTGGAAAAGAGCTGATGTAGTTCCCATCTTCAAAAAAGGAAAAAAATGGATCCAGGAAACTACAGACCTATCAGTCTGATCTCAATACCAGGGAAGATTCTGGAAAAGATAATCAAGCAACGAATCAGCAAATATCTAGAAGTAAATAAAGTAATAACCAAAAGCCAACATGAGTTTGTGAAAAACAGATCATGACAGACTAATCTTATTGCATTCTTTGACAAAGTGGCAAAATTAGTGGACTAGAGGAATGTTGTCAATATAATTTACTTGGACTGCAGTAAGGCATTTGATAAAGTAGACCATAACTTACCACTTGATAAAATAGAAAAATGTTGGTTAGACAGTATCACCACTGGATGCATTTGTAACTGGCTGACCAACCACACTCAAAGTATAGTCCTCAATGAACCTGCATCTATCTGGTGGGAAGTATGCAGTGGGATATCCCAAGGCTCTGTTTTAGGCCCAGTACTCTTCAACATCTTCATCAATGATTTGGACAAGGGAATAGATGGGGAACTTATCAAGTGGTAAGACGACACCAAGCTAGCAGGAATAACCAACACTCCAGAAGATAGACTTAAGATACAGAAGGATCTTGACAGACTTGAACATTGG